TCTAGAACGGTTCAAGAACAAAACCGAACAAAGTTAATATTTGCCTGATTTCTATCACATAAATGACATTAATTGACAAACAAAACCAGAAAAACCAGCCTTGTCGCACTGGTTAGTTTGGTGACAGTTATAACCGAATTTTTCAGGAACCGTGTTCCGTAATAAGAAAACTTTAATTTGTGAATTTAATCACACAATATTGAGAGTTATTTCTTGTCACAGATTATCGTAGTAAATTTACCATCCGTTCTTTAGTTTTACAACTCGCTTGTAAAATCGCTCTATGGCTAATTTGTAGCATATATATGTAAATATGTTATATCTTTAAAAAATGTGTATCTCATAGTAAATTTACTCACAAACCGTTAGTAAATATTAATAAATTTAATAAAACACGTGTTTATAATTATAATATATATTATAAAGGTTAATAAAAAGTCTCAAAACAGTGTTTGTAAGATCTCTCCTTAGTATATCTCTTCTTGTCTAGAAGAACCTTACTGGAATTCTGCGCCTAACCAAAATAGGGACAAAATTGCCATTAGGTAAAAAATAAAAAAAAACATGCAAGAAAAAGGTATCTAATCAAAACAGTCAACTTATCCCAACTTAAAGACTATAGATGTAGAGTCCTCTATTTCGGTCCTCTATTAAATTTGTCCTCCGAAACAGTCTGAAAGAATAAATAATGCTTAGAGCTTTGTTGATATGGGGAGATCATAGAGCGATTATGTTTATATAAAAAAATCGCTAAAATTAATATACCAATAATTATAATAAATGGAGATTGCGTTTTTCCTGAGAGCTGATTTTATATTTACAGAAACTACATATAAACATAATTAATATAATATACTTACCCTTATATTATAAAAACACTAATCACCCACGCACTGAGACTCCCACCTGTTCAAGAAACTGCTTATATTAAAATGTTCTTCGTCTTTCCTCTAACTACGTTTTCAATCGATTATTTAATTTGCATCAGTTTCACAAGAGTGGTCTATAGACATGCAATTTTACTACAAGATTGTATTTTTGATTTAAATTTAATTTTTAAACTTACGAAACTTATTGTTAAAATAATATAGTTCAGCAATAGCATTTGATATTAATAAACTGTTTTGCAAAATTACATTTTTTTGTGAAACTATGCAAAAATATCTTATTTTTACAAGTTTCTTAATAAAAATACTCTAATGTATCAATTTTGTAAAATTACTTATATTTTTTTCAGTGATAGGATATCTCAGTGACCTTTTTAAATAAAAACGTATTACAATATTTTAAAGGGATGCATCGCCTCACAAAAACGCGGGAAAACTGTAATGGACTTAGTAAAAAGGCAAACCAAATTAAAGTTAACAATTAAAGTTGATAAGATTAACAGACGAAGCAATGTGCAGATTCTGTCAATCGACAGACGAAAAGACATAACAAATTCTAAATCAGTGCGAAGGCCTGGAAAATATACGGTTCTTTGTACTAGGCGATGATAGGCTACAAAGGGCTAGGATGGAACCCTTATTAGGCTTTGTGAAACGCATACGACTGGATAATGTAATCTAGATATCAGCGGACTACAATAGATCTCAAAAGGCGAGGCATAGGCGCATACCAACTACCAACCTCATAAAATCTGATCTAATCTAATAAAGATTAGAGAGTTTAAGTTTAAATGAATTTACCATAATAACGCCATCCTAACTTTTGTTTTGTTAAATTAATTTTATTAAATCAGTTTAATATTTTTTAACTAAATTCCTTTTTATCATATATACTCAGTTTTTTTTCTCAGGTAAGATTTCGACAGACGATGACGAAAAATGAAGAAAAGCAGATGACGTCCCATACCAATCTATTTCTTTCACTAAAAAAAGTTTCTAATAATTTTTAAGTTAACTATGGATGGGTTTAAATATAAATTCGTCATGCGTCGTCACTTGTTGTTTTTAACCAGTTTTATTGGTTTATTTCAAAAATGACAGATCGTATTTCAATTTTATTGGTTTGACGGAACGATGAACGACAAACGGACGCCGATGCGTATGAACCCGCCTTTAGATTTTTGACGTTTGTCAAAGTTTTGCCAAATTATAGGTTATAATTTTGTGACAACTTTTGTCAAATACCCTGCGTTTTGGAAGATGATGCATTTTGATTCGTGTTATTACGTGTGTTTTGTGTCTTTTGAAGTCAAGTGGAGGAAAAATTGAATGAAAATTAACTGTAGAACCCAAAGCACAGTTTATGGTTAATACTCGCTGCCCAGGCAGAAAGTCTTATACTGTGGTCTTATACACATACACCAATAAAATTACTATCAATAAAGTTCGTATACCATCTCGTCGCAGATAAGTCCATCTCGAATATGGTAGAAGGACCATTAAATTCATACTCGGTGTTTTTTTGTCATCATTTAAAGAGAAGGACCATACTAAACACATACTAAAAACTGGAGTAGCTGTAAAATATCGACATCACACGATAGATAAATAATGGATTTTAGTACTGCAGAAAAATAATGTCAAAAGGTACTGGTTTCAAAAAATTAAGATTAAAGTTAATTAATCAACCTGTGAGGTATAAAATTTGGTAAGTGTTATTATTAATAAAATAGTTTGTTTTATTTGTGTTGTTTTATTTATTCCTGCGGAATATTACAAATTTGTATTTGTACATAAGTTATATTATTGATAAATATAATCATAAATGTGGGAAGTTTCATAAAGCTTGAAAGTAAGAAATAGTTCTTTTTTATATTTTTTGGTATGTGGTGTCTTGTTTTTGTTTGTTTTGTATTAACACATACCGTTTTTTATTAAATAAAATAACTCGATTACATTTTTTCAGTTTTATACAGTTTTTTTCACAATATTTTGAAGTTACTTGTCAGTCAAATTTTAAATACATATATTAATTTCCTGCTATGCGTTCCAGTTGTACCAACTTATTTCTTTGAAAAATAAAATAAACTATTTTGAAATTAAAATGACAGACACATCTATCACTGTCAAGGATCTTCTCGTTGGACAGACTTATACAGGGTCCGGCAATAGTGCGTCGAGCATTTGTAGCTCCTAGAATAAAAGACTTGGGAATTTTGTTTAAGTGAAAACCTAAAATATGTAAGAGGATGTATTTAAGGAAAATATTTTAACTTGTATAGGGTGGCCCAAAAAAGCGTGAGTAGATCGAAACCGTTAAAAATTTTGACATACTATAAATACAAAAAAATTTCAATTTTTAATTCTCCATCTAATAAAAAAATAATACACAGGGTGTTCCATTTAAAAAAAAAAGAAAAATTATTTATATTTCAGAAAGTTTGGCGTAGAATTTTGTATGATTTAAAATTACAATATTTAAATACCTGATATAGTTTTGGTTTCAGGGCTGTTCTTGTATTTTTATTAATTTTTTTAAGAAGGGCTGATAAATATATATTTTTTATTTATTTATTAATATCTTTGTTAAATTATTTTCTTATAAAAACATTTATTATTTATTTATTTTCTTATCAAAACATATTTAACAATATCTTAGGATTATGTAAAGTGATCAAAAAAGAAGTCAAAAATGCAATAATATACAGGGTGTTCCATTTAAAATCATCCCAATCCAATCACTTTTTTGAGCCACCCCGTAGAAGTTAAAATATTTTCCTAAAATACATTCTAATACATACTTAGATGCCCGACGCACTATTGGCGGACCCTGTACGTATAAAGATATTAAAAATATTATTGTATCAATAAATTAATAAGAAAGCACTAATTTCTTATATCAACCCGTCAAATTTTACCGAGTTTTTGATACTATAAGAAAAAAATATATTATAATCCCGTTAAAAATAAAATAACATAGTTGCTGTAAGTTTCATGTATTTTCAGAAGTAAAGAAATCAAAATAATTTTAATGGCGACATATCTTATTGTTAGATACTTATATTCAGAAAACTTCAATCTAAAAAATATTAGTTCTCTAGAATGTCCTAATGTAGTGATAGATAACCTATGACACGCGTGTCGGTGTTGACACTCAAGCTAATTTTTGGTGACACGCATCTTCAAAGATAAAAAAATACATAACTGAAGTAAACTACTCAAAACAATTATCGCATATTTTCTAAAAAAATATATATTAATTTGAAAAACAAGACACTTTGTTTGTTTTGACAAATACAAATAGTTTGGATAATGTGAAGGAAAATTCGAAATAATAAGCCTAGGCGTCAAACGTACAGAAATGACACAAAAGCAATAATTTTTGCGACGTGATTGACAATATAAAAACTCATTTTAACGCCTAAGCATAAAAGTAAAGCACTTTTCCAAAATTGCGAAAATATATTATTAAACTGACATAAAGTGTCAAATTTAACGAGTGTACCAGTGTTTCTCGATATAAAATTACTTACAAGGTATTACTTTTAAATCGTTTTATTTTATTTGAAACGTTTAAAACTGTTTAAAAAAATTGTAAACGTTTGAAAAAAATAGCATGTTCTATTTGGAGTAAAAATTACTTTTTTGCTTTACCTGTAATGTCAAGTACAGCTTAGACACAAAAAATGTCATTTTTACTCCCAATAAAACAATATACTATTTTAGTCTTCACTTTAATAACCTTATAACAATCTCTATAACCGAAATATACTAGTACCAGATGTATATTAAAACATCTTGTTATTAAAGACAATTATAACGTCAATAATATTAATTAAATTTTAATAATTCATAAATATTTTTATTGCTCTATAAAATGTATAATAAAATTTTACATAATAAAGTATTTCGTTTGATTTTTAAACAAAATCTAACAATTTTATTTTTATTCAAAATAGTTTTATTTGGTACAAATTATGACAAGACAAATTATAGTAGTATAAGTTATTATTAGGTTATCATATTTAATAACATTTTAATAAATATAATCAAAATGAGATTCATATTTATTCGTATTTATATTATAACAGCATTACAATGAGTTTGGCTTACCTTCCAGGGTCAACTTTAAAGGTGTTCCCATGGATACCGTGATAGATGGCAGCTATGGACCATGCTACACCAATTCCCAAGAAGACATTGACAGCGTTACTTCCTGTAACGTTGCCCACACTTGCATCTGCGTGTTTGTCATGGATAGCGGCTACTTTACTGGCAAATGTGTCTAAAATTAAAAAGAAAAAGTATAAAATGTGTATCCTATACTCATAAGTAGTGAAAATGTATAAATTTAATTTCTTAATGTTAGCAAGTTTATGATACAACTAAACATTCTTAATAACTGCACGCATAATGGTAATTAAAGCTTAACAAAAAAACGTAAGGTTGCGACCCAGCATATTCATTAAACAGCCAGTTGTATTAGTTTGTAAGTTTTATTATTTTTTTCATTATGCAAGCATTCATAGCACCAGTCTCAAGATGTTATAAATGTGCATATCTGACACACCGCCTATACCTTTTTTATTTTTTCAGATAAAAAAACGAGATTTGGCGTGTTAGTAATATGACAAAAATTAGGATTGATGGACACATTCATTTGTTTTCGGTCACTTTCTGTTTTACCGGAAATTACTACAACTTTTGATTTTTAAATGGCACCCTCGATATATTTTAACATTGAAAATGTTTCTGTTATCCTATATAAGGGAGCCCAAATCGAATTAAAATGCTACATTTGCCACACCATGACGTCATATATACAAGGGTATAGGAAATCTCGGCGCAGCGGCGGCAGTCGGCCAGCGCGCGCAAAAACCATTACATCGCTAATTGTTTATTGATATATCTTTATTAGTTTAAAAGCAAAAAATATGGGGTTTGCTTTGATACCTTGTCAAGACATAAGCGAAACTTTTAAATTGTTTCTTTTTTTCATTTAGGCCTTCGTTTTTCGTTAAATGAAAGTTATATTAAAAAAATATATTTTTAAACCAAATTTTCGCATGATTGAAATGATTATTCATGTTTAAAGTTTTTTTTGGTCATAAGCGCTAATGGAAATGTTTTTTTGTAAATAATTATAAAAAATTACTCCCTACGAAGACTTTATTGTGTACTGGATCAAAAAATAAGTATTTGTTTTCTCTATACGGTGGTATTAATATATCGATTTTTGATGATAGTGCCTTTTTACCCGGTCTAATTTTGTACTACTTTCGGAATAAGGGTCCCCATATCATGTACTGCAAATGTACTGTACTTCCATCCCTGAAAAATTCAGCTTGTGACACCGAAGTGAGAGGTAACGTCAAAATAAGCTTTAATCTACCTACATCATAGGTAGGTGTAGGTACTCTAGGTATATTCTACCTAGACAGTAGCTGAACTGGCTGACAGTAGTAATTAATTTGTTATCCAATAAGTAGTTGTCATTATATAAGTTTTAATCATCTTATACCTCCTATAACGGTAGGTTTTGGATTTTTCCTGATTGGTTTGTTAAACAAAAATATACTGGGCATATAAATGTCTGTTACAGGTTAATTCGTTAAAGAAATATTAATATAATATTATTTATAATATATTATATATTATATATAATATATATAATATTATTTTAATAATAATAGTATAATAGTAATGGCTATATTATGTTATAACACATACATATGTATTGAATGTACTTATTTTAACCACTGCATTGTTTTTTTTTAATCTCACAAATAAGAAATGTTTTATAGTTTTTATTATAAAAAACAGTGATTATACAATTTATTTACACCCCTTACACTGTTTTCTGTAAGGGGTGTAACCAGGAGTATATTTCGTAACTTCTTACGATATAAGAGGCCCCCCACAAAGTGTTTTATTACTTAATGCTTACAATTTAATAATATATTTGTACATAAAATAAAATAGACTAGAAAGTCAATTAATTAATATTGACGTAATTACTAAATAAGTACAAGATTTTTTTTCTAATTATTTTAGTGTATTTTTAGTCACCTAATTATAAAGGAGAGATATCCAACCATTGCATTATTTTTACTCACAAATAAATGTTTTATGGTTTTTATTATAAAACAACGATTAATTTATTATACACCCCTTAACCCAAACACTCCAAGGAGGATATTTTGTGACCCCTTATTTAAAGTGGACAAGCTTTATTAGTCAATGTTTTAATTACCCAGCGTCTTTAATAAAAATCTAATGTAATTTTTCATAGAAATGATCTGACATAGCAAACACAGCAAATTTTATCAAACAACTGACACAGCAAATTTTATCAAAAAACTTTTTGATTATCTACAAGGAGTAAACCGCTGACAAATGTCTGTATACTAATGCCAAAGTAATGTCAAAAATACAAATTAAATACCAAAATTTCTCATTAATGCCCCACTAATGCCAAGCTGATTCCAATATAATACCACTAATACCACGAATAATATGTAACACATTTGTTTCACGAATTAACCTGTAACAATACTGGTAGGTACGTGCACAGATTTTTTCCTAGGTAACTTAAAAGTCGTTAAAAAGTCTAATTATATTTAAAGAAGATATAATTCCAACAAATTACATTATAAGGCCAATAATGCACAAGTAATACCATTAAAATTTTAGCGTTTTTAACTTGTGTAACATATTTCTTTAACGAATTAACCTGTAACAATAGTGGTAGGTACGCGCACAGATTTTTTCGCTAGGTAACTTTTTAAATAAAAGCTATAACAACATAGGTAACTAATATTTATAATTTAATTCGAGTTTTAATCTCAAATAATAAATGTTTTTACTGGTGTATTTCTGAAGTGTTCATTATTAAAAGTAGATATTCTTCAAGTTATGCGAAGTAATAAGTAATGTTTCCGGTGAGATCGCGTATATGTCACCGGATTCTGGTTAGTATAAAGACTTTTCTATAGAAAGAGTTTTTCTATATTTTCCTTTCAAAATAAGACTAATTTCTTCTTATTCTTTTAAATATTACAGTGTTTCTTTTTCCTTAAATGTTATACTTAATTTTCGCTTAAAATTAAAAAATCACAAATGGAGGAAAATATACGTTATTGAATAAAGTTTATACAAATCACTTTACCATAACAAAAAGTAAAAACATGTCATGGCGGAAGATATTCAGGTGGCATTTCACACATTTATCTATTAAAATCGATATTAAAATAATAAACTTGCGTAACATGTTATACACGAGATAGAAAGTTTCAGAATCGATTAATACGCAATACGCTACACTTATTCCTATGCGCAGATGAGCGTCTTCAAGACTCTTCCTTCGGCCAGGGTCACGACGCCGCTGAAGAGGAATCGGCCTACGTTTGGCTAAACAGGCTGGACACGGTGGTGTACGATATTTATAAAAATTTGCAAAGTAAAATATGTTGGAAAATAATTAATCCATACATAAAATCCATACATATAATAAATCCATACATAAAAGCTCAAAAGGTTTTTTTTGTTGCATCCATCCCGCCGAAACCGCTTTACCAATCTTGATGATTCTTTTTTTAAATGAAAGGTATATATGTGTAGATTTGTTTTGAAGTATTTTTATATTGCTTAATGGCTATTTCTTTGTGTAAAACGACTAAATACTAAAACATATCTGAAAAACACCTACACACAATACCTCCAGAAATAAATTATTTGTCAATGTCAGTGGTATGTCAGTTAGATTATATATTACGTTTTTAGATATTTTAGAGTGAGTTCATGCCGCCAGCTTTAGATACATAAATATTAGCACAAAGGTTCGTTTAAACGACATTAGTGAATTAGCTACACAAAGCGATTTTAGGAAATTCATCCTCTTAGAGAGTAAAATTATCTCGGAACAGTTTGTTGTATGAAAATTCCTTACTATTTGGTCTAGAAGAATGAAATCCTACAAAAAGAATTAGAAGAAATTTTTGAAACTCATCAACCAAATGGTTAAAGTTAGTAAAAATTTATATAAAACTTGGTGACCTCTGGATTATACACAGAAAAATTGGCACAAAGGTAAAGCGAATTTATGAAATTTATACCCTTGGGGAGTAGAATAGGGAATGAAAGTTTGCTGTACAAAAATGCAATACTATAACATTATAAACCAGACAGTATAAAATTTTATACACAGGTTTATTTAGTGACATCATAACGAAATATATCTTCCTCAATTATCCTTCAAAGAATAAAAAATAACCTATAAAGAGAGTATTAGTGCTCTTAATAAATAAAAAAAAGATGAAAAATAAAAAACATCTATATGCTATATACATTAAAGCTACATCTATATAAAGAAGTAAAAAATCATTTAAATCAATGCATAAACGATTCGAGGTGTAACGAGAACGTAGTCGCGAGAAAAAGCTAGTAATTTATTAAATTATTTTATTTAACTCATTAATTTTCATTGAAAAGGAATTTTTGTAATTCGCCACTATATTAGTTAAAAACTAAGAAACTCATATCAAATTTAAGTTTTGCGATTTTGACTTATACTTTTTACAAAATCTGAACACATTTTAAAAGAAAAAAAGTTTTTGATAATATTTGTGTAGATTGACTACAAATTGTATAACATAAATTTCTACGACCGGTCTACCTAGTGGTCTGCAGCATCGCCTTGTGGTGCAAACGTGGGCCTGTTAATCTGTGACGTGACGCACAACAGCCAAGAAAAACAGAAGCGTGGCTAAGAATTTAGTAATTTAAAAAAAGTCTTTTAGATACAGTAGTAGGTATTAAAAAGTTTTGTGTTTAAATGGGGTTTGCCTTCAACAGGTAAAAAGTTATATCGTAAAGTGTAACTTTCCGTAAGAATTCTTTATCTGTCATTGATCATGACCTGTCATCATGTTAACCTGATGTTTTGTATGTTATTTTGTTTTTTTCGAGGTTTTTTTGCTTGCTTGTTTTACGGATAGGTGCGATCACATAATTATTATTGATAATGTTATATTTAATGTTAACATTACTACTTTTTCAGTGAATCTTTAAATCTGTTGTTTTTTTTGTTAAGTTCGTTATTTAAACATATGTATGTAATACACTCATATTAACACTAATCATATTTTTACGTTTTTATTCATCATTTTCAATGCCCCCCGGGTTGCATCTTTGTAAAGGACTGTGAATTTTTTATTAGTTTTTGTAATTTTACTCCGAATAGAATGACATATCGTATGTCAACTTATGACATTCTCTCTTTAAAAA